TATAAGTTTAACATGACAGCAAATGTACAACGTTTTGACAAAACCTTGTCGAAACGTTGTACATTTGCTGTCATGTTAAACTTATATTAAAGTTTTTCTTCATTACCCATTTAAGCCGTCTCCAGCCATTATAAATGACGATCTTCATTTGCATGGGCCATATCAATAATATTTGAGCTATTACTTCTTATATAAAATGGTTTCACTTATAATAAATCAACTAACGCGAACTCTACATTAATTAAGAATTTATTTAAAACTGAGACTACTTGCTCGAATATTACTTACTCTCAACTCTGACACCGACATTTTCTCGACATAGTTATATATTCTCGTTACCTAGGTATCTACAAATTAAATGAAACAACAGAGGCCGCTGACATAAAAATAATATTTTAATATATTTTACTGTTGTTTTCTCTGCCTCCCTCTTCTCATATTTCAATTTGGGACTCAATCCCCGCAATGGGCACAACGTAGTTAGCCCATTGTGCACTTTGCACTATAAAAAATAAACAATTTTTTAAGTGCAGATAACTCAGACATTTCATTTAAATGTAACAATTCAATGGAGCTTAAAAACTAACCAAAAATAAATTGATAAAGATTGAGACGAATGCTCAAAAATAAAAAAGGTAAACTAAAAGGCAAATATTATGTGACGTATTTCTTTCTTTTTTTTATCATACAAGTTTATTAATCAAATGAGAAGCCTAGGACGCAGAAAGAATTAAAGAAAATGTCACTATTACAAATTATTTACTTTTAGTGAAGTGAAGTCAGTGTTTGTATTTTAGCTCAAAGTTGCAGAATTGACTTACAGTGCTATATCCGCTGTAGGGATCGAGTCCCGAAGTTTAGCTTTTTAAGCACTAAGCTACCAGGAAAATGAAAGCGGAAAGCTCTTCTTATCTATATTTGACAATGTTTAACTGTTACAAGCAAACCAAGAATATCAGGAATTCTGTGTTGTGAGGGGGGAGAAAAATCTTAATGTACCGACAGAAGAAAAATGCGTTTTATTGTTATAACAATACAAGGGCTCGAGTCAACGAACTGTTACGTCTCCGTTTGTTAATTGATTTTTCCGTAACTTTGTTCCGACGAAATTTTAACGACACAAGTCTTTACTTAATAAAACTGGTTTATTCTTTCCGAATATAACCTTACGATACACTTATTTCAATATTCGCGCTAAAACAAACACTATAACGAACGAACGTTAACTTCAACAATACCCTGTGACTGCAGTTCAATTACTCACTATCTACCCACACACTACATTCCCGCGTCACGTTGTCACCCTCTTATATATACCAGGCTACCCTATCTAGTAAATAC